ATATTGTGTTTCCCATTTTTTCATGTGTGTATATGTGTGTGTGTGTTTATGTGTGTGTACATATATAATTATAGTATACGTGGATCTATAATTATTACTGATACATGTGTCACAAAATAATCATAGTTCAAATGTATAACATTTTTAATATAGGAATGCAATGAAGAATCCAGTGACGACAATATTTTTCAAAATAAGTCATACATTTTGGGAAGCCAAAAAGCAGATTTCGCTTTAAGTGATGAAGGCCAGCTGGAATTCGCATCAATGTTTGACACAATTCATGCAATAGATGACGGAAAACAGTTAGACAGAAAAAAAGATGGCCTATTGTTTGAACTGAACCATATTCAAAAGAATCTCATCGCTGCTTGGAGAGTGGCCACTTCAAGAAGTATAAAAGAAAAAGACATATTATTAAATTTTAACATTCGTTGTATTGTACACTTTTTTAACATTCTCCAGCATGTGAAACTGAAAGAATTAGATCATCCTATCAAGAATCAGTCATGGATACAATGTGTCTTAAACTGTTTCCACCAATTTTTGACTGTTCTCAGTTGGGAAAATCAACACAGACAAATATTGGGGCATTTAATGAAATTAACAATGCAGACCTTGAAACTGATACTTACAGAACAACAAGATCACCTTTTCGCCACTAATCTTTTGGGAGGTTTCTCATTGCTGAAGATGGTTATTCATTATTTAAATGCCAAAACAATACCACAGTATGAAGTTCTAGCAGATCTGAATGGTAGTAATAAAGTGGAACTAGATTCTATTGATGTGCCTCTGTTTCAAAGGCACACAGATTGGAATAGTCACCAGAAGCACTGTGCATTATGTTCTGTGCTAACGTGTTCTCTTCCAATGGCAAACCGAACTGAGAATCAGGAAAAAAGGTACTTCTAGTATAAAAATTATTACTTTAAATATTTTACTATTTTGATGCATAGTGTAACTTGAGTCATGAATAAAATATCGTAAATAAGAATTCTGGGACAAGTAAAACGCAGCATTTGAGTTTGTGTACCCCTTCTGGTTTTTTAACACCTATAATAGATTTTAGTATGACACCCAGTATGCCGATAACCACTGGAACCACCATAGTCAATTTATGCCATAATCTTTCAACATCAATTTTCAGATCTTAATACTTTATGATCTTCTCCAGTTCTTTGCCTTCTACAATATTCTATCCCCTGGTATTGCTCATCAATTAATCACACTTTCTTTTTTTCAACCACAGTTATATCTGTGTGTTATGAGCCAAGACATTACCAGTTTGTATTCGGAAAGCCCACAATATTTAACTTGCTCATTTTCAACTACTTTTTCAACTCTGTGTTCCCGCCAATTTTTCATTAGTGTCCCATGATATTTTTTACAGATGTTTAATTAAATAATTTTGGTGACTGTTATCTCATTGTTCATAATCAGCTTGTGTGATCTTGCATGAGCTAAATATCTGATCTACTGTTCCTTCACACAATCCACACTTTGAATCTTGATAATAATAATAATAATAATAATAATTATAATATAATATAATTATTATTTATGGGCTTGGTTTGCAGCCCTGAATTTCCTGGTGATTTCCTTTTGAAATACTAGTGTAAGATTTCTTCTACTGCATAGAATATATAAGGATTAGTCAGTAGCTTGCTTTAATTTGTGACTTTAATTCTTTTTAAATATAGGTTAACTATAATCTGGCGATACTTGTATAAACATGTGATTTGGTATTGGGCACAACTAAGCAGAAAAATGAATAACTCAAACAAATCAATGACTGAAATCCAAATTGCTCAGGAAATTCCAGTGACCAAAGCACTTGCAATTCATATACAG